CCGGCCCTGCCCTGCGAGCCCGGGGCCCTGCTCCAGGGACGCGCTCCAGGGACCCGGCTGTGGGCGGTTCTCCGAGCTCTGCCCGCTGCGGGCTGGGGTTCGTTGCTGGGACGCGTCCGGCCCTGCCCTGCGAGCCCGGGGCCCTGCTCCAGGGACGCGCTCCAGGGACCCGGCTGTGGGCGGTTCTCCGAGCTCTGCCCGCTGCGGGCTGGGGTTCGTTGCTGGGACGCGTTTTTGTGCGAAGGGGGTGTCGTGGCTCTGTCGGACCCCCTGGCAGTCAGGCGCCGGAGGAGGCCCCGGCCAGGCCGCGGGGTCCTGCCCCAAGTCATCGCGGTGGGAGGCGGTCGTTCCCTTCACATCCCGGGGGTTCTGCCGGGCACCGGGAAGATCCGTGCGGAGGAGGATCTTTGCTTTCCTTACGCATACCAGGCTCAAAAGCAATCAGGGAAACAGGACATTTTATGACAACCGGCTGCTCAGTATTCTGTGGGACCTGGAATTGTCTTGTAATTGTATTGGAGGTTGTTTCCTGTTCAAATGTACTGTTGGCTAGTGCGTAGTCATAAAATTTGAGGTCAAAATATGTGGGAAAATTTCCATAGAAGTAAATAAATACTCATCTAAGTTCTAGATGAAAAATAGAAATGATTTAATAAGACATAATTCTTAGGCAAACCCAGGAGTTAAGTCTAGATGAAAACAAGAAGATAAAGGCTACCATTGTATATGCAGCAAAGGTTATGTAAGAACAAACTGGTGATGAGGGAGTATTTATTTTCCTCTTCCAGACTGCATCTCTCCTCGTCCCTCTCTTATAGCTATTCAGCCCTTTGTTAAGACAGGAGGGCTTTTTTTGTTTCATTAAAGACATAATTTCTTTTTCAGTAATGCTTTCTGGTCTAGTGACTTGAACTGGCTTGCTGAGGTTTTGGACAAGCACCAGAGCTAGTGTGTGTCAAGTGGTACATGGATCTCAGGAGAACATTCCAACATTCAAAAATAATCAAGAACTGTGTTGAAAAGAGTGAATTTTTCGGTGCTCTATAAGACAGAAAAACTTCTTCATAAAGAGTATCTCAGGTGGTACCATCTCTTACCAGCAGCATTCTGTGTTACTCCAAGCTGCTTACACCAACAGAAAGTTCACTGGTAGTTCTGAGGTTGAGGCCATGTGGTTTTGGTAGAACCTGAGTCCTTTTCCCAGGGAACAGAGCTTATGACATGACCATGCTCATCTTCTGTGGAGTGGAAGTGAAGAGTTATTCACAGTGCCTAAGGAACACATTCGCCTTGGCCAAATGCCCTCACCCTTTCTAAATTCAGGTCCTTCCTGTCTTCCCTCCTAGACTGTTTTTGTGGGAATCAGTAAGGCCTGAAAGATGCTGCATGTCTGATTCCTTTAATGGGAATAAAAAGGCCAAATACTCACCCAGCTGTGGAAGACAGCTCAGGGGATGAGGCTTTATGACACTGCTAGAGAACCCATAGTTAAATTTTCCATGATGTGTTATAGCAATGGAAGTTGTGCAGAAGGGTTTGAAACCTCTCCTGAAGTTGATGGTAATTTTTACAGAGAAGGCAAAGGGATTTTGCTATCAGTTTGCAGTTTCCCTCCTTTTTTTGTTGTTGTAAGTTGATTTTGCAAAGTTGTACATTATTTTTAGTGGTTATAATCTTGCAGCTATCCCTGCAAAAACCATAATTGTAAATAGCATTTAATCATTGTTTTCCTCCTCACTTTTCTTATTTGTGATTGCTCTTAGCATTCATTTGATGAAAAGGAAGGTAGTCTTGCACCCAGAATGTATTTTTTTTTCTACTTTTTAAATAAATTCCATGTATATTTTCATACATGTTTTGCTTGCCACCTACACTGTAGCAGTTTTCCGGTTGCAAGCCTATAGTAAGGAACTGATGCTTGAGATTGCAGGAGGGTTGGCAAGGAGAGGAGGGAAAAATTAGAGGGGAGATCCAAGTTTCCCTAAGATTATAATCACAAATGAGTGAAGACTGAAGAGAGATGGAAAGCAACTGAAAAGGTCATGCAGAAAAGGTAGTTCTGAAGTGCAGACACTGCCGATAGGGTGATGTAGGTAGTAGCTGTGTGAACCATCTCTGCACAGACTCGTTTTCAGACGCATGGTGACAGAGCTTTGGTGGAGGACAAGCAGCAGCTGTAATGCTGTGTTCATCTGTGCTTTGTTTGCAGGCTGAGGTGGAGGAAACACTGAAGCGAATTCAGAGCCAAAAAGGAGTGCAAGGAATCATTGTTGTTAATTCTGAAGGTACTGTGTCAGCCTCAGCTTTCTGAGGTGTAACTTGGTCTAAACATGCACTTTAAGGACCACTCATCGTACTACTTGTGTTTAGATTAGTCTGTCTTTAGCCAAGGTTTTCCTGCAGCCAAAGCAGAGAGCCAGCAGTTAAGCTAGAAGAGAAAAATGGGTTCCCATTTCTGCTCTTCTGCAAGCTCGCTTTATTATTTTAGGAAATCAAATAAAATAAACTTAAAAAGCTTAGGAACATTTGAGTTATGCCAGTGTTTGAGACTGTGTCCTGTCAAAGCCTTTGTCAGCAGCACTAAAAGCTCTCTGGACATCTGCAGTCTTGCTGCTGTGCCTGTCCAGAGCACTGCTGCCTTGGCAGGCTCGAGTAGCTCAAATGTAATATTTCCTAGAAATAATATTTAGAAAAGATTTACAGATAGTAGCTATACATTAATATACTGAAGATGAGATCACTGTGTCCTTGTATGCAGCTTGTGTTCCTGCTTGCTGTATTTTCACGGTCATGAATAGTGGATTGTGCTCTCCAAACCAAATCTTCTTGAAAATACCCCTGCAGCAGGTTTTCTGCCATGCTAGTGTTTGGTACTTGGCTGCTGCATTGTTCTGACACAAGCTGAATTTTGGCTGGCTTTTTGTGGAAAGACATATTTCTATTCATGTTCTTCTTTTAAGTCTTAAAAAAGCCCTCGTCTCATCTCTGGTGTAGCGACATCATCTGCTTGGATTGAGTAGCCAGTCCCCAGTGGGACATGATGATGCCCAAGGGGGGGTTAGTTCTGGAGTTTTGTCACTGACCCTTGCTGTCCTTTTTCTTGCAGGTATTCCTATCAAAAGTACTATGGACAACTCCACGACAGTCCAGTACGCTGGCCTCATGCACAGCTTCATCATGAGGGCGAGGAGCACCGTGCGCGACATCGACCCCCAGAACGACCTCACCTTCCTGCGCATCCGCTCCAAGAAAAACGAGATCATGGTGGCACCAGGTAAAAAAGGGTGGGCTGAAAGCAGCCACCAGGGAATCCAGCAGAATTCTTTTCTCATGAGATGACACTGACAGCCTGAGAGAAAAGTGTGTCTGCTGCTTTTTTCATATTGTATAATCTCTTCTTTGCCAAGAAGCTGTTTTGCTTTCTTCAGAGTTGAAAGCTTTTATCATTGACCCAAATTTGCTTTTTCATGTTTGAATGTGGGAAACAACTTCCCTCAGTTTATGTTGATTGAAGTAGAAAGTGTTGAATACTGCTTGAGAGCATGTTACAGCTGCTAATGCTTTGTGTTTTTCAGTATAAACCCACAAGAGAGAGTGGGAAAGGAGTATGTTTTAAGAGCAATTTCATTTCAGCGCTGTAGAATTAAGTGATACAGCAAAAGAGTCTAAAAGATTTCCCAGTTCAGAGAAGAATAATAAAGCATGTTATAGCTATAATCATGAGTTATAGAATACAGGAGCAGCAACCTTCTTCTCAGGAGATGTCCCCAGTATTTCATCAAATTTTGAAGTGGGTAGCAACGAGATGAGTACAGTTCACTAACGTGGCAGGAGCTCGGCTTAGTTCCTCCCTGCTGCATCAGCTCCATCTGGGATTGTTGATGGGGAAGCAAAGGAGGGGGCTGCAGTTGCAGTAGATTGCTCTGCAGGGACTGGGCAAGGTGGTTCTTAAGACAGGCTCTGGAGGTTATGCTGAGCCAGTCTCTGATTTCTGTATGAGACATGAAAAGAGAGAATTAGCATTGCTCCAGAAGCAATGGAGCTGCAGCCCAGACAGCCCAGCACTCTGCCTGTGAGGTAAGGGAAATCACTGTCTTGCACCACCTATTTTGATTCCATCATTGCATATGCCAGTTAATATTATTTCCTAGCACAAACCAAGTTAAATTCAGTTGGCTTGGGAGCATGGGAGCACAGAGCTGTTAAAGCTGAGAATTTTTCCCAGTGATACTTTTAAAAATAAGTGATCTGACATGCCAAGCCTGTTTACTCATTAAGAATGAATGTCAGGACTCTATAGTTCCCACAGTGTGTCACTGAGATATTAAAAATGTTAATATTTACTGTTGCTGTGAACAAATACCAGCAATGAAAGAATAATTTCTTTTTTTCTTCCTCCAGATAAAGACTACTTCCTGATTGTCATCCAGAATCCAACTGAATGATTACACTGACTTGTTCTGTTTTTTCCCTTTGTTTTGTCTAACATTTTTTAATTTAATGTTAAACAATAGAGCATTAGTGTTAACTCTGCTATGCCACTTCAGTAAGGTCTGAAAAAACAAAAGCAGGTGTTTTTGGTGTTTGCAAGCAGAAAAAGTGACTCTTTTTGTTGTTTCACAAGTTGTTTTGAGGACCAGTTGGTGAATTAGAATCAGACAGTAAAAAAATACAAGAGATTCTTCTAATAGTTAAGATAATAAAATAAAATTCAAATAGTGGTCTAAAAAAGTTTATTCTTTGTAACTTTCCATGCTTCTGTCACCACTGTTTGAGATATGCTTTTACACTATTACTTTTGAGTGACTGTAAATATGAAAGTTGCCTACCCTGTAGTTCTGTCTTACTCTGCTGGTTTTACAAGTTCCTTTGAAAGCGTCTGACTATATCAAATTAAAAAGTGTCATCAGTGCCTGGCTTTGTCTTCTGGTTTTGTCTTCTGAGTGTTTTTCTTCTGAAGATTTTAATTATTCTCATGATCGATTGAGTTTTTCTTCATAAAATAGAAACTTCCTAGGACTATTTTTACTCATGTGTTGCTTTCTCTAAGCAAGGATTTATTCTAAGTGCATGTGCAATGTATTCTTAATTGTCTCAGATGTTGGAGTGTTCTTCTAGCATTTCCTTTTTGTTTCAGACAGGGAAGGGTTGTGGCTAGGCAAGGCCATCAAGGCTTCCTGCTGGAGCTCTCGTACTGTCACAGTTCAGTAGCCAATTGGATCTGGTATCTTCCTCTAGTCATCTTTTATTGATGGCCATTAAGGCCAAGAAAAAGTCATCTGGTTTCTCCAGAAAAATAAAGGGGTTGTTTTTGTAGCCCAGAAAGAGGGTAGTGATTGCATGCAGAGCTCCAGAATTTCTGCAGAATGCTTGCCCTGAAGATGTTTGTCACAGACAAAACACTGGCTTGTACTAAAGAGAGGTGTGCAAAGCATCAGTCCTGCTCCAGCAGTGGCTGTGCAGCTGCAGTTCTGTCAGGGGGTGCTGTCCCCTGCACGGGTGAGGGACTCCTGCCTCCTGTCTCTGGCAGTGGCCGTGCATACCCCCTGCTCAGCCCTGCTCTGGCAGAGTTACAAGCAGCAGCAGGAACGTGTGGTGCTGTCCAGTTCTACACCAAGGAACAGACTTAAGAATTTATGGGTGATCTCAGCAGGCTGGGGGGTGTTCAGGCAGTTTGTTGCAGTGCAGTTTTGGAGTCTTTAGCTAAATAATGTTGGTATTGACTTGGATGCTCTCCTGGATTTCAGGGCACAAAGTGATGGGGTGGGGGTGTGGTGACTCCAACAGCTGTGGTAACCTCTATGTTCAGCATGTGTTTTCTGTGCTTTTTCAGACTTGGGCATTAATTTAGAGACAGTGTGTCATTTTTTTAGGTAGTGTTTATGACCATGAAGGTCAGGAATGCTTTTTGAGATCTGTAAAGTGCTCAGTCCTGCAGCATCTGTGTGATGATGCTTTATAGTATTTTGGGTAGCTCAGCTGTTGTCGTGACTCAGTGGTGGCTGTTATAAGGAGGTGGCGACCTGCTTATGAGACCATGAACTTGCAGTGAAATTACAGAGTTCTTGCTATAAGCTAATTGGGGGTTTTGAGGAGCTGTTTCAGGGTTCTTTTGTGTGTTTTGGTTTTGTGGTTTGTTACCTGTTGGGGTTTTTTTGTGTTTATTTCTTTTTGCAGGACTATTGGCAGTCTGACTTCAAATACATTCAGGAATTTGAATAAAGGGGTCTTGAAGAAGCTGGGCTTGGAGTCTAGAGGAGCTTATGAAATCCATCTGGTCAGGGCAGGGTTTTGCTTAGGCCATGCTAGTGCTACCTTGACAATAGCAAAGTTAAGTCAGTTGTTTTTTTAAAAGAGGAAGATGTGGATGAAACTAAGGAACAACAGATCTATCTATTCCATTTGGATACTTGCTATGGAGAAGAAGCATCTTATTTGAATCAGGAATATCAGTGTGTCAGAGATCTGACCAGAAGCAGTTCCTCTGTATGCACATTAGGGAAGGATTTCACTTTTCCTAAGTTATCTTAAAGAGGGTCCAGAAAAAGATGGGATGAAGTTCAGCTTCTTGTCCTCTGTTTGCTGAGTCTGGGCCTAGTCGTTTGTCTGCTACAATTACTGTCAAATTGAGGAAGAACAGAAAAATAAGTGTTATGGTTCTACTTCTTTTCTCTAGCCAGCAAGTATGATGAGGTGGTTCAAAGGAGGGACTGAATAACCTTGGTGATCTGTGCTTTGTGTTATGGTTGGAGACTGGCCCAATTTTCTGTCGTGGAGATGTCAGTTTTGATGGGTCCCTCTCTGAAGGCAGAGAAAGCATCTACTGCTGAGAAGTGGAAAACAAACCCTAATGCATTAACAAGCTAAGGAGAGGAAGTTTGAGATACACCTCTGGGCTGTGAACAGCCTCACTTGAGGCCCAAGGATGGGCGCTCTTGTGCTAACTCTGCTCCAAGATAAGGCTCTGGCAGAAGAACAGAGGTGGTAACCTATGAGTACTGCGAAAGCGAGGTGTTTAGAAACTCATCTATGATCTGAGAGCAGCTCTTCTGCTCCAGCACCCTCCCAAGCAACTTTACCTGCCAGAGATGGCTGAGAACTGATTGTGCAGCACTGCTCTTCATATAGGGGACATCTATATTTGATCTTGTCCTTTGTCATGTACAGGGAGTGAAGGTCTGGCACAGGCAGTTAGACCAGTGCAGGCTGGCTGGGTGTTGGTAGGGCTAGAGTAGCTCCCTGCCCAGTATGATCGAGGAGGAGCTGTGGCTGCTGGGGTGTGCAGGGTCGCTGAGCTCTGACAAACACTGCAGCAGAAGGCTGAGCATTGACACAATCACCATTGACAAAAACACACTTCCTTTACCAGCACGACAGGATTCCTCCAGGGAGACTTCCCCCTGCTCGCACGGCTTCACAAGCGTCCGGGCCGCTCATTACCAGCAGCGTTCAACCTGCAGGAAT